ATACCACTGGCATATTATTTTAAAGATGCGACCAACAAAGTAAATAGTGTTCTTTCTTTAATCTAAAATTTTACAAAGATTCTATTCATAAAATATTTAGCGTCAGTCTTGGAATACTGTATAATAATATAAGAGCAAGTCAATAAGTTCTGAGAAAATCTGTCAGAGGACTGAGAACTCGCAGTGTCACACTACTTTTTGACAAGTAACATCTTTCAGCTGATTACTGTCAAATTTTGAACGGAATTCATCGCGTGGTTTCATTTCTGTAGACGATTAAAGCGAACAACCTTTGTATTTTTTGCAAAATGAAAAAAAAACGAGTTTCGTGCAGCGATCAAACATCTACATATGAAAGGTTTAACATCGAAAGAAATCAAAGCCAAGTTGAATAATGTTCGTAGCATATCTGCACCAGCGTTTGCAACTGTATACAATTATGTGAATGAATTTAAACGTGGTCGTACATTCACATGTGATGCACCTTGTTCGGGACGTCCAATTGCTACGCCAGAAATCATCGATAAAGTCCACGATATTATTTTGACTGATCGACAAGTGAAAGTGTGCGAGCTTGTTGAGGCCATAGGCATATCACATGGCACAGTGATTTCAATTTTGCACGAACAATTGGGTATGAAAAAGCTATCGGCAAGATGGGTGCCGCGTTTGCTCACTGTGGATCATAAGCGCGACCGTGTGACGATTTCAAAACAATGTTTGGAGATGTTTCAATCCAGATGAATTTCTGCGTTGATTCATTACTGTGGACGAAACATGGATCTATTACTTTACACCCGAGACGAAGGAACAATCAAAACAATAGACTTCACCGAGTGAACCAGCTCCAAAGAAGGCGAAGACCGTGAAGTCGGCCGGAAAGGTGATGACTACAGTTTTTTGGGATGCACGCGGTATAATTCCTATCAATTACCTTCCATCGAAACAAACGATCAATGGCGATTACTACGCAGCCTTATTGGACCGTTTCAACAATATTTAAAAGAAAAAACATCATTTGGCGAAGAAGAAAGTGCTCTTCCATCAAGACAATGCACGGATTCACACGTGCCTGGCACCGATGACCAAATTCAAAGAATTCCGCTACGAATTGCTTCCCCATCCAGCATATTCGCCAGATTTAGCCCCCTGCGACTATTTCTTGAAGAAATGGTTCGGAGGAAAAAGATTCACCACCAGAGAGCAGCTCATCGCCGAAACAGAGGCTTATTTTGAAGAATTAGACAAATCATATTATACGGTTTGAAAAAGTTGGAGAATCGTTGGATCAAGTGTATCGAGTTGAAAGAAGACTATGTTGAGAAATAAAAATGAATCGATAAAAAAAAATGTGTTTTACTATGTTTTCCTAAAAGCATATTGACTTGTCCTCGTAAAAAAAGTTCTTACTTGTCAAGTCAGCAAAAACAACACGTCGTGAGCAGATTTAGAAAATTTTTTGAGATGAACATTTTTTAAATGTCCAAATGTGAACATACTTTGTACGTTGAATAGCATACATTTTTAAAACATTTATACTAAGTCCATGGACATTCGAACTAAATAAAAACCAGATTTGGCCATCTAATGAACGTTGTGTGAGTAATATAATAGTGACGATTCTAACTCAGGTCCTCTAAGGGAGGCGCGAGGAAGGGAGAGAAAGCGTGGGAAGTCGATGCTATCGGTGTTTAGTGATATGATGAGTCCCAGCGCTATCGGTGTTTACTGATATAATGCCCACACCCCGCCGCAGGCGCCAGCGTCAGCGTCAGCGTCAGCGTCAGCACCATCACCCCAAATCCCGCCACAGGCGCCAGCGCCACCGCCACCGCCGCAGACCCCGCGTTCATCCCAAAATGCGTTTCAGACAGCCGCCGTGGAATTCACTCCCACCCCAAAATGCATGGCGGTATTATAGTATAACGCGAACAAAAAATATTAAAGAAAAAAAGAAAGAAAAAAATATATAATAAAAAAAAATATTCTTACCTTCTCCACACCCTCTCCCTCTCCGTCCTCCTCCTCCTCATCATCCGCTGAATTCTTATTTCTCTTCCTCTACAGCCTCATCGAGATTGTCGATGAGGTGGTTGAACGCAATTCTGTTAATGCACACATAAGTGAGATCGTCTATTTCATCGGCAATCTTGATGAGAACGATGGAACAATCCTAATTGATCTACATATAATTGACTGAGATCAATTATGATATCACTCTGAATCTCCTCTGAGAAAGAGGAGGAGGAGGAAGAGGAGGCAGTCTCCTCAACTTTTTGTAGTTCTTTTTGCATGTTATAGCTGCACAGTAAAAAAAAAAATTATCACTTCACTTAATCACAGAAAATATGCAACAATATTCTACCATTAATGCTAAATAGTAGAATATTGTTGCACGTTGGGGAAAAAAATATCACTCACGTTATAATACGTCTTGCGCGCGGACAAAGACTGACGTTGAGAATCAATCTTCGCCGTTGAGAAACGAGCCTGCCTAGGATTTATTTATAGGGGGGCAGTTGTATATAAAACACTTTAGATCATAAGTGTAGTCTCGAAAAGATATCGCTATAGCGCGTCGAGAATGAATGGATGGAAATAAAGAAAGCACATACATAATATGAACAAAAAAAAATTTTTTTTATTCACATATTATTACATCATTTCTTCTTTTATACATATTAAAAAAACTAAAACCAATAGCTCGCAATCGCCGAGCTGATGTTTGTTAAAGATGTCACTATCGCGTATAGATTTTTGGACGTGATGTTGGAGAATCGCGTATACTTGACATCAACCGTATCGACGAGTTGGGCTTATCGTTCGAACGTTACATCGATACATCCGTCAAACTCAAACATATATCGGGACTATACTTATTTTTTTAAGAAGGAGGAACACTGGAATTTAAAAAAAATCGATTTTTGGATTTTCATTGTAATAGATGTATACACATTTCCAGAATGTCCTCTGAAAATTTGAGGTCAAAATTTAAAAAATTGTTAGAGATATGGAATTTTAGGCAACTCGATCGGCCATCTCCGATCCATTTTTATTTTTAGCAAGAAAATGAGTTTGCTGAATTTCTTATTCATTTCTTGCTTAACCCAGATAAATGCAGTGTGTTTGTTGATATATTGGAGCAATCAATTTCGACAAACTCATGACAAGGTGAGACAGCATTATGTCTCGTTTTTTATTATGTTAAATTCAACGGAATTCGAATTCTTGTAATGGCAAAGTGATGGCAACATATCAGCATAAATATCCTCGATCATCATTCAAAAACGTGTAACATTTCAATTTGTATATTTCATTATTGTCAGTATTTTGTTTGTAACGAGTTGCAATTAAAAAACTTTATACCTTGAAGATATATTTGCAACAATCATTGGAAATCATTATATATGTTCTGTTGCTATCATGATTTCATCATGATGTTTAAGATGAAACGATTAATTATTATTTGTTGTTAACATGTTGCTGTCATATTTCGGATAACATAATATATCACCAATGTTCACAGTTTGCTTTAGAAATTTTGACAACTGATTACATATAAGCATTAATGTGTATTTTATAATGTGTCCTACTTTGATGTCAACAAATATACAACAAATATATAACAATATATACAATGCATTAGTTTGCACAATGTACTATATCACGCTTGGCTATCTGGATATATACATAAAGACATATATTATATATTACGCCATATTGTAAAACATATGCTAATTTCACGCAGTCAGACAAGAAATGAGCAAACAATTCAGCAAACTTATTTTTTTGCTAAAATAAAATAAAAATACTATTCAATGATAATCACGTGGATCTCTTGCAAATTCTGAAGGAGCTTGAAGTATAAATTGGTAAAAAAATACATATGACTTTTGCATAAAAATCGACGATGAACACTTGTTCGACGATGAACTCAACTGCTAATCAACGAGCACAAGAAATGACAAAAGAGGCTTGTACTTTACACTGAGGCTAATTCCAAATTCCGAAATCGAATTTTGGAATTGGAGGAATTACTTTATGGCCCAGGAATCACTGAATAGACGTTAATCCAAATTTTCCATTTCATCCACATGTAATCCAATACAGAAACTTTAATTGCATTTTTTTCAAAACTACTTTTTTCGATTTGGATGACAGCATATCAACATATGTTAGAGTAAAACTGATTATTCCAATCGGAGTTTAAAAAAATTCAAAATACGTATAAAATAAACCTATTGACTTATCGTAGAATTTTTTAAATTCAAAATTGGATTTTTTTAAATGATAAAAAATAAAAAAGAATTTAAATAGACTTTTTTAAAAAAGTTCAATAGCATTTGTAATTTGATTAAATTTAAAATTTCCTGCGATGAGACAGAAATGAGTGATCCATACTTTAAGAATAATTTTGATTCTTTTTATTTCTGATCAATTGTTTTGCAAAAATCATGTCAACCAGTTCATCCCTCTTTTTTTTAAGGCCTAGCGTCAACTCTACAAAACATAAAAATGGAAAAATGTCGGGCTCATTTTTTTTACATACATATTAAAAAATATATTTTTATATAAATAAAATCAAATTTTATTTACGTGTATTGTTTACTTTTAAAAAATTCGTAAAGTATTGTTAATTTTCCGGTCTCTATAGTGTTCCCCCTCCCCCCTTAAACAAAATCTTAATTTTCAATAGAAATAAACAAATATATCATTTTTATAAAATTATTATTGCTTATGAATGAATTATAATGAAATTTTGGGTAATTGTTATAATTGTATCATTATTAATTCTATTGATATAAACAAATTCAATTTTTATTTACTTCTTATGATCATAGATACTCGGGAAAAAATGTTATATATTATAATATATATATATAAACATATTTTATATATAATTATATATAATTTGTGTATATAAAATGTCAATTTTTTATACAATTATATATAATTTAATATAATTATTTATAATTATATATGAAACATTTTTTCCCATGTATATAAAAAAAATATGTATTTAGATAATTAAAACACACCACTCTAAGCAATATTTTATATGTTTACGTCTTCCGGATAAATTAAACACACAAATCAATCTATATCTAGTTGTTTAAAACTTCCTTCGACCCCAAACATGTCTATCGTTTTGCTTTTGCCTATTCTTAATGCTTCGTTTACACGACTTGTGACTTCGTCTTGTAGAAACCATTCACGATGATGTTCTAGCCTTTTTAATTGCTCTTCTTGTTGTTCGTTCCATGGTCTAGCATTCCCTTCTAAACCTACATTGCATGGAAATGCTTCCAATGGCATGAATTTTCCTAGCGTATCTTTCGGGCTAGTATGAATATGTAACTGAAAATATATCGAAAATATATTATATAAGACATTGAAAATACATATTTTAGATGTAAAATAATAATTGTATGTTGAATTTATTTTTCTTACAACTAGAAAAAATATTATTATTTATTGCGATCTTTTAATTCTTAATATGAAATTTTTGATAATTAATTAGGTTTTAACTTAATTTAAAACATTCAAAAGACAAGCAAATAAGACGTTTAAAATTTATTTAACAATTTAATAAAATAATGTACATAAAACATTTCAGTTCACAGTTCTTTATCAGTTTATAATTAAAATATATATTAATGATAATTGATTTTCACAAAATTCACTTGCTTCTCATTATTACTATATTTTTTTAAATTTTATTAATATGTAAATTTTACATAAATTATTTTATCATTTGTATGTTTTATAATAATTGTGAACTGATGAAGATTTTATGAGTCGAAACGTTTTGTATATAATATTTTATTAAATTGTTATCATATTGAGCGTCGATGACACACACCGTGTGATAATGACTACTCTCATCGGTAGCCAACGACACATATTTGGATAGTTTGTAGTAGTTTGGATAGTGTTATGCTCTCGTCAGCTCCTCATGTACACGCACTAGCAAGAATGCTGTCTCCTGGCATTCGGCGCTACACACTCGTACCGAAGTACACACATATGTGTTATTGGAAACACGAAAGAGGCGAGGAGCGCGAAGGGAGAAAGTAGTGGGGGACGCTCCGATGTTCTGTTCTTAGCGCAAGGCTCATGATTGAGAGAGAAAGCGTAATTGAACGTCGGCTCGTGGTGTCTTTTGCTGTCTCATACATTTGTTACTAGCACGAGTAAGATACCCCGGTCTCTTGCTCGCCAATATTCATAATAATACTTTTATTATGCACAAAATGTTGTAATTATGCATAAAAATTTTTAATACTGTAAAAAATTGTTGTGCATAATTACAACATTACGTGTAATTTTGAGATTCATTGTAATAGCTTTGCATGCATTTATAAATTTGCAGTGTGCAAATAAAATTAATATTTTGTATCGGAAGATTGCAAAATTAAATTTACAGTTAAATATAAGAATATACAATAAATAAAAAAAATATGATATAATGCCGATATAATTGAACGTCAACAAATACGCAGCATCCCTGCCGGTGCGTTAAACAATATACGTATGCAGTGGCAATATATTAAAATAACTAATCAAAATTCTCAAATTGCATAAAAAATAATAATTTCCAAATTGGATAGTTTCAAGCTTTAGCTCCTGTAGTACACCTGTAAAAATTGCTCGGCGCTCAATGTGTTAAATGAATTTACTTATTTAGACATCTTATGTGCTCAACTTTTGATCGTTTTAAATTATTTTTTGCTCTTCAAACAAACAAGCATTATTTTATTTTATTTGTTTATTAAACAAATTTTAATTAGAACTTAAAAAAGAAACTGAAATAACATGTTCACTACCACGCGTCACATGTGTGACCGATTTGTTTATCTGGTGTCACATATACTTGTATTTGATGTACAAAAGAAAAGAAGAAAAGCTTAGGCAGCCGTGAGATCGGTTTTTTCTATCAGCCTAAGGTAGAAACAAAGTTTTTTTTATATTTACATGTATGTTTTTTTTTATTTTATGTATGTATAGGATACGTCACCAAAATCCGGATAAATTTTAATTTAAATTTTCCATTATATTGTGCCTCCGCCAGAGGTTGTTGTTGAGAAGTCTGATGCTTCTAGTAAACAGTATTATCATATTCTCAAAATGGCCGCGATATTGAAATCAAATGCGAAGTATAATCAAAGAGCCGTGATCATCAAAGGCTTTCGCTCTGGACGCTCAGCAATGGAAATAATTCAGTTCTGTGGATACTCGAGATCAACCTTTTATGACGTTGTGGCAAAATATATATACCGCTTTAAAACAGTCTAACGAAGGTTCCAGTATACCAACGAGGAAGAGTCACTCGAAAGAACGCACCCTCGCAGTCGTTGAAAAGATTCAAGTGCTAATTTCGTACTCAGGGAAATCATTGCGCGTTTTAATGGATGTAGTGAAACCATGGATGGAAACTGTGACGATCAGCAGGATGGTGCATCGGCTCATATAAATTATTTAATTCAAAATTGGCTCTCAGATAACGTCGATATGTTTTGATCCAAGGAATTCTGGCCTCCCAACAGTCCAGATTTAAATCTCTTGAACTACTACGTATGGAGCGTAGTTGAAAGAGTCACAAACAAGTCTCGGCATCCCAATGTGACGTCATTAAGGACCGCTATTGAGGCAGCATTCGTCGACATGGACAGCGCTACATTATAGCGTGTGTGCGAACGCTTCAGAGAATAGAAGCCGTCATTCAAGCTAATGGAGGATTTATCAAATAATTGTGCTCTACAGAAATCCCCCAAGTGCCATGTAAAAGTATTTTTTGTAATATTTAATTTTTCATTAAAAACATTTTTTGTTTAAAGAAATTGTCCGGATTTTGGTGACGTACCCTGTAGTACTTAATATAAAATATTTTTATCATTTTTTTACCACATCCATTAATTCCTTCTTCATAAACGGCTTCATCATCGACAAAATGATATCCATGACTGCATTGGTATTAATAAAGTGCAAACCTTTAAGTCTGATTGGTATAGCTTCTTGTAAGTAATAAAGATATTTTTTAATCCCTATTGGACTAAGACGGCCAGCATGAGCGAAAGTAACACCTGTCATGTCTATAACAATTACATGGCCCTTGGCGGTTCCTTCAGTGTACAACCACAAGTCAACCACCATAGAAAAATATTTCATGACATCATTATAAATAAAACGTGATGGTTCATAATCTATTAATCTCGTATAAACAATTTTGTATCCTTCCTCCGTTGGCATTGATAATGTCATCTGCGCCCTTTTTAGAAAAAAATTTTATTGTTTAACACATAATAAAATTTATTTTCATATCTATTAAAGAGAACATACGAACGACAGTTCTTTTTACATCTTTTTATTGTTTTTAGGCGAGCCGTTTACCTCCAAGAAGTCATTTAGAAAATGCATTAATCTACCAACCAACGTTCTAGAAATAATTTAATTTCTTAATAAAACTCCATTATTTAAAAATAATAAATCAAACTATAGAAAGTACAAAAGTTAAACCGCTAGAATATAATAACATATGTTATTGTATTCTAGCAATTTAACTTTTGTATTTTCTATCTTTAATTATCTTTAATTATACTTTTAATTATGTTAATCAAATAATAGAGTTTTATTAAGTTTTTGATTCTTATTAGCCCTTTATATTTCGTTGGATTTTAAATATTAAGAGTCCTTACTTCAAGTTTTTTATTCTAATTTAATTTCTCATGTTATTCTGTGGAAAAAACATCTATATATACATCTTTTTTATGTAATCGTCGAACATTTTGTTGTTTTAAAAAATCTGTAAACATCGAATAAAATTTTCGAAAAAAAAATTTCAAAAAAATTCTAGAAGCTTAATTGAATAAAAATGAACATTTTTTTTATTTCTTTCTAATAAACTTAATAGTTTATGAGATAAAAAAATGTTCGAACTTGAAAAATAACTATTTTTATTATTTTTCCTTATAAACTGATCATCCAATCAATATGAATAAAAAACGAAAGAATATTAAGCCAATCTTAAATTATAACGAGAATTTTATTTTATTATTATTTGTACTACTGACAATGAAAATTTTATTATAATGAAGATACGTCAGCGGCGCGTGAGCGGTCTCAACGCCGAATGGCATTGTGAACTGGCATCGCAGCTCGGCACAACGCTTGCTTAAAAGTTGAAATATCTAAGATATAAACATTAATAGAATACGAATTTTAAATATTTTAATTCATTCCCGGTAAAAAATTTTTCATGCATGATTATGTATAAATATGTAGAATTTTATTATTTCAGCTTACAACTGCCAAGAACGGACTTGGTTTACAATAAATTTCTTAACCATACTCATGCTTCCACAATGCAAAAAAATCTAACACTCTTGACTCTATCTCTTATATGCACTACTCCGCAAATACTTTATTCCTAACAAATACTTTCTGCTTATTCCCAAGTATCTTTGCTACTTTAATCTATCCTATCATAGCTCCGAATATCACAGTATAGATTCCTGTGTCTTATAATATATAATATTCACACATCACAGCCTCATTCTAATATATAACATACTATATAAATATTAAAATATATAAATATATCGCCTAATGTAATACAATAAAAACATATCACAGCATTTCTAATAGTATACTTTGAGCGCCCAGACGTAATTTTGTTCCAATACATCTCTTTAATTTACTTAAAATTTTACTGAATCTAATTCTTTGCTCCAAAGTTTCCTCCATATTTTCTCTCTATCTTCTCCTAGATCTCTAAATCAATTACTTTTTGACATTCCTCCACATAATGTTCCATGCAATTCATCCCTATTCCGCAACCCCTATATTCTTATAACCTGTATTTATTTCCTTCCTCCATATTTCTGCATCTAAGTCTTATCAATCCTCCATACCTTCGCCATTCCCAACTTAACAGGTTTTTCTTCCTTAAATAACTGGGAAATCTATTACCCGTATCAAATTCCTTGTACCTTCCATTGTATCTCGCAATCTTCAGCCTACTATCTTCCCACTGTCTTTGCACATTCCTTTCCCTCTTAATTATTTCCTCCTCTAACCTCCTTTCATTATCATCATCTCCTAATTCTCTAGTATCTCCCATCCATTCCTATTGTAAAACCTTTTTCTTTTTTATAAATTTAAATCTTTCCATTTGTCCTCTTCCTTCTCTCTTAACATTCTAATAGACTATCTTCCCTTATTCTCTTTAATCTCTTCTCGTATCTTATAGTTCTTATTCTACAACCTATCCTTAATTTATCCATAGCGTATCTTCATTTTCACATATCTTGGTGCAGAACTTTATATTGAATATTTATCTCACATAATCCAACATAATCGTCTCAATATTTTTTCTTTCTTCTTATCCTCAGATCTCCACTTCATACTCCTATAACACCTTGAACTAGGTATTTAAACGATACTCACATCCTTATAAAATCTCTGCACAATCATTCCTCTAAACCCCATACCTTTCTAGCTACCATCCTCTCTTTCTAGCTCAATTTTACTATGTGATCTTTATAATCATCTTTCCTATTAAGTGTGAAGCCTAAGTACTTGAAAGATTGTACCTCCTCAATTTCTTTGCTCTCTCATTTCCATAATTCCTTTTTTTTCTTCCCACGCTTATTAAATACTACTCCCTTCGTTTTTTTTCGGCGCACAATTCTAGTTTCCTACCTTTTAAAAATCTTCTAAGTATCCATTATATCTAACAGCACAACCCTATTTTTCGCCAGTAGCATTATATCATCCGCATACGTTAAGTTCCATATTCTTACACTGCCTACAGCAATTCCCTCAACATCCCTATTCCTTAACTCTCGGTCAAGATCCGCAATGTATAAATTAAATAGAAGTGGACTCAGGCCCTGCCTAACTCCTCTTCTTATCTGGAACTTCTCTGACAAACCCCTGCTCATCCTAACAGCAACCTCCGTGACCTCGTATATGTGCTCCAATCTTATCAGCTGCTTCTTGATTCCATATTTCCTTAATAACCTCCAAAAGAAAGCTTCTATCCACTTTGTCAAAAGCTGCCTTTAGGTCCACAAAGAGAACGTTTACTTTCCTCTTCTTATCTTCCACCTGCTTGCTCGTTTGAATCAAATGATTCAGTACAAATATGTTATCCATCATCGACTTGCCTTTTCTGAATTCCGTTTGCATCTCCAGGATTAGACTTTTCTTCCATACCTCCTCTTCCAATTTAATTTTTAGGATCTCCACATACCAGTTAACGATATCCCTCTATAGTTTCCTACCAATTCTGTGTTTCCTTTCTTATATAATAGCACAATGATATTCTGTCTCCAATCCTTAGGAATTTCACTTTGTTTCCAAACTTGTTTTAATAACATGTCTTTTCATAACGTATCTCCCACATATTTCCACGCTTCCGATACTCTTAGCCTTCTTGTTTTTCATTTTTTAGCACTCCTCTAATTTCTTCTTTTTTTAAATCCTTATCCTCCTGTGCTCTCGCCCCGTTTCTTGCCTCCATTTCCTCCATTTCTTCCAGATTCATAAAATGCTATTTTATTCCTCTGTCCTAATATTATTATCTTCCCATATCTTCTTGCCTCTTTTCTTGTTTATAAATTTCCATACATCCGCTTTCTTCTTCAAACATCTCGATTCAGCTTCCTCTTCTTCTCTTTTTTATTTTTACTTCTTCTTCTTCTTTAACTCCTTTAATTGATTTCTTTCTTTTATGTATTTTCTTCTACCTGTTTTTCCTTTTCTCCATTTTTTTATTCTCGGTACTTTCTTCTTCTTCTTAATACAACTTCTATCTCATCAATCTTTTCCTAGCTTTTGATTTTTACCTTCTTTTTAACCAACGCTCTATGTACAATTTTCTTAATTCTTTGTCACTTTTCCTCCGTTGTTATTTCTTTTTGTTCTGCTTCACCAACCAAAATTCCCGTCTTCTCTTGATATTTTTTTATTGCCTATTCGCTCCATTCTTTATTCCTTGATTTTTCTTTTCTTCCTTTATCTTCTGCCTCTCTTCTTCTCCTTCCAACCTTGTTGCTAAGCAACAACGGCATGTGGTACGAGTCCACCTGAGTCTCCTACTACAAACTCTCTTACGCTTTCTCTTATACCTTTATTTATAATTAAATAATTAATAATCGTATTACTCCTTTTACTTATAAATAAGTATATTCCACATCCCAATCTCCTTCCAACATTTCATTTAAAATATACCATCTCCTTCTCTGCATCTAGTCAATCAACTCTTTTCCTCCACTTTTTCCTATCTTTTGTTTTTACTTCTCCTTTCTATTTCCTCTTTTACCTATTTCACACTACCTAAGTCACCTGTTCTCACATTACAATCCTCTATTACTATCTCTTCATTTTCCATGCTTTCCAGAATTTTCTCAAACTTTTGTTCTAAAATTTGCCAACTCCCCCTATCGTATACCGATATTATTACAACCTTTTTCTGTTTTATACATACGACCGACATTACCACTCCTTCATTTTTACATATTAAGTTCGTTTCCTTTGCCCAATTTTTCTTTACGTTCCTCTACTATAAATCCCCCTACCTCTTTTCTTTTCTCTACGTACCTAAGCACTCTTCCATTTATGAACTGCACGCACGCACGCACGCACGCACGCACGCACGCACATACAAAATCAAACTTAATTACAAATTTCTAGAAATCTTTATCCTTATTACTTACCCTCGCAGTGTTTCAAAATATAAATTTTCCTTCCCTTTTGTTTATCTTCAAATTTCTTTCCCCCTGCATCTCTCCCTTACCTCTTTCCCGTAATAGATCTGAGGTGTGAGTCTTTCGTGGCCCCACTCTCAGAATGTCCCTAAGGACAGCATTTATGATTGTTCCAGATAATAAAAGTGCTGGAAAGTATGAATCTTCTCAGGCAACGAGAGAGACCATATATAAGGTCTTTAAATCATTGAATTGTGCCCTTAGCGTAATTAAAATTATGAATATAGGCAAAAAAAATGGTATTAAAATAGATGCGATATTTCCGAATATGGAGAAAATCAAGACTCATTCAGCAAACTAGCTAAAGTAGAGTTCAATGTATAGTGAATAATATTAAATTGGATGGATAATATTAAAAACCTAAGAATAATACGAGTAATATATGATATTCGAGGAACCGATACCAAAAGATATAAGTAATGAGTTAATTGCTCAAAATTTAAATGGCGATACTAATGTTGATCTGAAAGTGGTATATAAATATTGCAATATAAACCCC